TTTAATGTTCAAAATGATCTTGTTCCTCAATTTTGGTTCCAAGTCCTTTAACTCTTTGCTCTAGAACTCAAGGCCCATAACCAATAATAAATAAAAGAATCAGCCTTCAATTGCTCTGTGCAACTACAATCTGTTTTTGTTTGTTTGTTTGATTTTGGGCCATATCTGGTGATATTCAAGGTTTATTCCTGGCTCTGTTCATAGGAGTCACTCCTGGCAGTGCTCAGGGGACCATATACAATATCAGGAATCAAACCCAAGTGGGCCGCAAGGCAAGTGCAAGACAAGTGCCCTACCCACTTACCATCTCTCTGGCCCCCGTGCAACTACAATTTTGAAGAAATTAAGTTCTCCTTCTCTTTCATGCATTTGCTAAAACACAGACGTACATATGCACACACAATGAGCCCCACAGTGGTGCTCCTGAAACACTGCGGCTTCCCCGTGACTACTCACAAAACCTCCTCTAAACAGCGAGAAGTCTTCCTGGAAACTCACAAACAGAAAAACATCGGAGTGCTCCAACAAAACGTAATTTGTTTAAATTTCCATTTCTTAGCATGATTGTGGCAGAGCTATCTGAAGCGTCGAGAGTGAAATAACAATTAATCACGATGTTAGCATAATACATTTTGACATCCAAGGAATTTATGAGTATTACCTAATTTGTTCTATAAATATTTTAAGATGTGGGTGTTCCACCTGATTAATGATCCTGGAAATCCGTCCTTTGAAATTGTTGCCAAGAGTGCAGTGGGTCGACATAAAAACCAGGATGTGAACCCAGGAGCTCCTGACATCAGCTTTTTCTGAACTGCATCAGACTCTGCTTTGAGTCCAGAGGGGGAGATGCTCCAGGGGTCAGGGATGAGGAAGATGAAAAGCTCAGAAAATACCACCTGCACAAAGGTTGCAGGGACTGAGTCGGTTTGGGAACTCGGGATAAGGGGGAGGATGCGATCTGGGAAGTGTCCAGGAGTCCGAAGGGTTCCTGCGTGGGGAATGGTACCCAGCTGTCTTCCGCCTCCCACGCAGGCAGAACAAAGGGAAACAGACAGAAACGCAGGATGTCAGCTGCATGGGAGCGATGGCTTACCGGGCACGGCACGGGGGATGTCGGGGCCCGGCGTGCCTGTCCTGGTCCACGCTCTGTCAGGGAGGGAAGAGTCCCAAGTCCCGAACCCCCCTCCGCCGATGGGCTGCAGCTGGGTGGCATCACAAACCAGTGCCAAGAGTGCTCCGAGGAGCCTGTCCCCAGCCGTCCCCACAGGACATGCCAGAGCACTGTGGCCGCAGCTCCGGACCCCTTGCTGGCCTCAAAGGAGCTGGGCCGGGAGGGGCTGGGGGCATCCTGGGGGCAGCAGGGATGATCTCGGTCTGATCAGGACCGCTGGCAGTGCCCACAACTGCAGCCCCAGCTGCAGTGGGAGGGTCCCAAGTAGGGGCCAGGAGTCATGAGTGAGGGCCTGGTCATCGGGGACCCCATCTCTGGCCACTCCGTCCCCTCTGTTAACACCCAAAGCACTGGCTGGAATCAGTTGGAAATACCCACGAGAGCTGTTTCTGCCACCCGTGACACACTGGCGTGTTACCCGTCCCCCGGAGCCTGGACCACACGCTCCGTCACAGCACACAGGGCTGTGTCAGAGTCGCCCCAGACACGCCAGAGAGCTAGTACAGCGGCAGGGCACTGGCCTTGCACATGGCCGACCTGGGTTTGATTTCTGCACCCTACCAGGAGTGACCCCTGAGCGCAGAGCCACGAGTCAGCCCCGAGCACCGCCGTGAGTGGCCCCGAAACAAGAATAATAAAGTAAGTGGTTCCCAAAGCACCAGGCTGCCAGGCCCAAACTCTGCTTTCACCCGGAAAGTCAAAGCAGAAAATGGCCCGAGCAAGCACTGGCCGCTGTTCCCCACCGTCCACCACTCCCCAGCCCAATGGGCTCATGCCTGATGCCCTGTGCACAGCTGTGGGGTTCAAGGGGCCCCTTTTCCAGAGGGGCCGGGTATCCCCGAGTCCAGCTCCAGGGGTGCAGCGGGGGCTATAGGCAGAGCAGTCCCAGAGCGGAGGTGTCTGATTATTTGAACGCAAGGTCCTGCCTTAGCTCTCCCGTTTCTGGGGGGGAGGGGTGGGAACCAGAGGATCCGAGGCCCTGGAGTCTGAGATAGGGGCTCAGCACTGACACCCAGGCGGCAGCAGTGTTCCCCTGGTGGGGAGGGCGGGGTGCTCGCGGGTCGGGCAGGAGCAGGAGGTCCAGGTGTGAGCCGTGGACACAGAGGTGGCCCCAAATCCTGACCTAACAGGAGGGGCGGGAAAGGAAGGAAAAAAGATTGGAAAGTGGAGTCTGGGGGCCTCGCACCTGCACCAAGATCCCGGGAAGCCGTTTCCCCAGGCCACCAGGGTCCCTTCTGGTCTGCGAGGCCACAAGGCTTTGTCCACCTTGGAGCTGGGTGAGAGCTTCTCGCTCCCAGAGCTGCCGAGCCTTGGGGCCTTGGTGGCAGCGGGTCCCTGAGTTGGTTCCCCGGGGAGAGAAATGCCACCCCATGCTCCCTGAGCCCCGAGCAAGCACTGGCCATTGTCGCCCAACACCCACTGGTCTCCAGCCCAACTGGCCACGGCCGAAGGTGTGAGGAAGTGAGTGCCTGGACACGTCTGGCCCAGCCCAGGCTGAAGGACCTGGGCCCGCAGCGGGGCTGGGTTGATGCGGAGGAGAAGCCGGTGTAGGGAACAGCACGAGGAAGAACGGGATGTGGCCACCAGAGCTGAATGGGCACAGGGGCCTCTTCGCGGCAGGCCTGGGGCCCACAGCCCCTTGTCAAAGCACATCCCCAATTCTTATTTGTTTCCTTCACTGGGGTGGGGGTTGTGGGGCCCCACCCAATGACGTGGAGGGCTTACTCCTGGCTCTGTGCTCAGGGATCACTCCTGCGGGTGCTCAGGAGACCGTGTACAGGGTCAGAGGCTTGATCAGGACCAGCTACGTGTGGTAACTTCACCCCTGCACCACATCTCCCAAGACCCCAATTAAAAACGTGGAAGCTTTTCTTCACTCCCCTTCAAGTTACCTTTCTGAAAACTGTGCTTTCTCTGGGTAAGGAAAGCGGGTCTGTAATCCTTAGTTTCCCGGATACAGGAAAATTATAAATTATAAAAGTGTACATCTTTTATAATTTAAACCCAATTTAAATGTTAAGTCTAATTCGAACCTCGACGAATATTAAGCCAGGCTACTTACTTAGAACTCTACTGGAAAAGTCAAAATTTTAGTAGGCAATATATTATCTACAATATACTGTCTACGTTCCAGAGAGCTCAGAGTAATTTAAGGTAGGAAGAATCTTGTTATCATCTTTTTCTGGGAACAAAAATGTTACAGGCACGTAAGTCAAGGAGGCGCTGACAGATAGATGCACCAGAGCCTGGGAGTTTCTCCCATGGCTCGGGGCAGTTCTAAGGCAACGGAGGAAAAAAAAACAAAAGTGAAAATAAACATGTGGGTTTTCTTTGTTTTTTGAGAAACAAGTTATTCTTTACTCTGGCGACAGTACCATGCAAGAGTTCTTAGGGGCTTCATGTCGTGTGGTGAGATTTGGGGGAGACTATGAAAGTCCTGCAGGATGACATCTAAAAGTTGGGGGCGGGATGAAAATCAAACAGAAGCCCTGGCCCGTGGGACTGGAAACTTGTCGAGGCCCACAGGACCACCCCACCCCAGAATCCTCTCTGCGCCCCTCGAAACTGGGCCACTTCCGTCCGATCTCTTCTGGGGCCAGCCACACAGTGCTGGGACCCCAAGGGGACCCCCGCCCTAACCATCACCCCAGTGACCAGAGTGGCGTTCCCTGCTCCCTGCCTGCGGACTCGAGATGTCCGAGGGAGCGTCAGAGCTCTCCTGCCACCCGCCGAATCCCAAAGATCCCACGCGGCAAAGGAGCCGTGAACAGCAGCAGGCAAGCCGAGACGGCACCGTTAGACGGAATGCTGGCCCACCTGGGGCAGGACTTTCTTGACTCCTCAGTGCTCGAGGTCTCGGTGCCATGGGGGTGGGGGAGGGCACGGGGGGGGGGGGGCACGGACAGCGGCCTCGGGCTCGGTTGTGGGAACGGAACACGCGTGGCTCCAGGGCCCACAGGACTCGGGCAGCTTGTGCCCTGCCTGCAGCCACACCAGGAGCTGAAGCAGCTACCAGCGAGAGGCAGGAAGGCAGGGGCCTCGCTCCCCCTCGTGGTCCTTGCGACCGTGAGCACCCCGGGTTGGAGTCTCTTCCATGGGGCAGGATGGGCCCCTCGCTGCTCTGCAGCTTCCTTCCAGCGTTTCTTCTAGTCCTTAGCCTGCAGCCCGCCCTGGCCGCAGCCTGACTGAGAATTCAGACAATGTGAAATAATATTAGGTTGTATATATTGGAACTGGATTTCGGGTTCGCTTTTTTTTTTTTAATTGGAAAAGCAAATGTTAGGAACACTATCTTTTTAATCTCTAAAAAAAAATACTTCACAAATCAAATTAAGTTAGGGGCGAGCATCCTTCCACAGAGAAAGGCCCCATACCCTGAAATGGAAGATAAATGCTTTCTGCGATAGTTATGGGGGGTTTTAGGGGAGGGGGGATAAAAGGAGGATTTTTAAGTCTCTTTGGGCTGTGTTTTTTTTTTTTTAACAAAACTATGATGTAAAGCCAAGAAGCAAAAAGGTTCCCAGTGGGCTATAGAAAGGAGCTAGGTGGGGCTGGAGTGATAGTACAATGGGGAGGGCATTTGCCTTGCACGGGGCCGACTCAGGTCCAACCCCCAGCATCCTACATGGTTCCCCGAGCACCGTCAGGAGTAATTCCTAAGTGCAGAGTCAGGAGCAACCCCTGGGCATCGCTGGGTGTGACCCCAAAAGAAGAAAAACAATAAGAAAGGAAAGAAAGGCGTGCAGATTCGCTCTGGTCTCTGCCCCTGTGACCATTTGACGAGACACGCTCCCGGGGTGGCCGGGAGAGCCGGAGAGCCACCTACTTTTCATGGTGCCGTCCTCCTCGTCCTCGTCCTCGCTGTTGATGACCATGGTGCCCAGGTCGGCCTCCAGCATGCTGCCGCTGTGCTCGATCATGGTCTGGGCGCCCTCACTCAGGGTGCTGGGGGCCCGCATGGTGCCCGCGCCCTCGGCCGTGCTCTTCACCATGGTGTGTGAGTCCAGCTCGTCTTCGTCCTGCACACAGGGGGGGCAGGGGATGAAGGCAGGGTGCCTGTGGACCGAAGGTTCCCTCGCGGGCCCTGGGGACAGGGATGTTGCCCCCCCAACTGGAACGCAGGGTGGCCCGGGGAAGGTTGTCATGAGGAGGCTCAGTCAGTCCCAGATCAGCAAAGGGCTGGGTGAGGCAACTCACAGACAAATGGTCCACAGAGAGAGAGAGAGAGAAAACAAATTTAGGAAGGTGACAGCATGGTGAGACACTGGTGCCATGACAGGTCATCGTCACAGTCACGGTCCTCCCGTTGTTCATCGATTTGCTTGAGCGGGCCCAATAACGTCTCCATCGTGAGACTTGTTGTTACTGTGTTTAGCATATCAAATACATCGCGGGTAGCTTGCCAGGCTCTGCCATGCGGCAAGATACTCTCGGTAGCTTGCCAGGTTCTCCGAGAGGGGCGGAGGAATCGAACTCGGGTCGGCCATGTCGGCTGCGTGCAAGGCAAACGCCCTACCTGCTGTGCTATCGCTCCAGCCCCCTAACAGGATGCAAGCTTTTCCAGAATTAGGATAGACAAACCTGGCACCGAGTCTGCCATCTGCACCTCACCGGCCTGCAGCCCTACGGCCCCGGGAGCAGTCACAGGGCTAGGCGATCGTTGGCAACATCTGTTTCCAGAGCTTGTCACCTCCTAGAGAGCCTCTGTGGCCTGTGAACGCTAGCTCCTCACGCTCTTTCCCTCGCGATGGATTCTCTTCTTGCAAGCACCCACCAGCGGGCCCTCACGGCACCTGGCCTTCTGTCTGCTGCCGCCTGCAACTTGACGGGCTTAACAACCCAACACGTTGTAGCCTGGAGCAGAATTCCTTTACTTTATAAAGATGACTATAATATTCCAAGGCATGAACGTGTGTATGCGCACACACAGACACACACACACACAAAGATACACACACATATGCACACGACACACACAGACACTGACAAAGATACACACACACGTATTTGCTGTTTTATTTCCTGTTTGTGTACTGATGGACACTGGGGTGGTTGATTATTATAACACCCCTAGGAACGCCATTACTGAGGGTTTGCCTCCGCCCCTCTTAAATCTTTTGCACACTTAGACGTCTAAGAGTGAGACTCTATCACAGGGAAATATGACTTTTTTAATGGGGGATGGGTGGGGTGTTCAGCCACAGGCAGAGGTGCTCAGGGATCACTCCGGGAGTGCGTGTGTGTATGTGTGTGTGTTTGTGCGTGTGTGTGTGTGTACTTGTGTGTGTGTGTGGGGGGGGAGGGACACAGTGGTGCTGGGGTTTGATTTGGGGCCAGCTATGCAGAGGCAAGCACCTTAGCCCTTGATTATCTCTCCAGTCCCCGATTTTCAGTTTTTGAGAAGCTCGCCTGCACTTCTGCCACAGAATAATCAAATCAGTAATACAAGAATGAACCAAAGAAACGTTCTTGGGACTGTTCACATAGGGGAGTCATGCCAGCAGGGTGAACTGACAATTCTGCTTCAGAGAGACCTGGGAATCGCGCACGGAACGCGTCTGCTCTGCTCCTCCTAGGTTCAAGCCAGCGAGGAAAGCCCGGGGCGAGAGCTCACACGGCGGCAGGGCAGGGCAGGGCAGGGCAGGGCAGGGCAGGGCAGGGCTCTCTCTCCTGGACTGAGCAGACCGGCCCAGCACGGGAGCGCCTTCCTCAGCCTCTTCTGGAAGATTCTTCAAGCCTTCTTCGATAAGTATGCTCCCCAATCCTGGCGTTTTCTTGCCTCTGCTCACTGCTTGAATGCTTCCTGGGCTCTAAAACATGCCGTGCCCAGAGCCAGTAGCCAGTATCTGACGGCTGTCCCCCACCACCCCATCTCTCTCCCCGCCCACGCTCCATCCATCACCACCACCCGCCCCTTGAGAACCAGAATCCATGTCTCCGCATGCCGCCCCCCCTTCCTTTCTCCCTCCCTCCTTCTCTGCCTGGTCTCTTCAAGTGGATCTTGTGTCTCAAAGGCCTTCTCTGCCCTCGGGCTGGTGTGGGTTCCGGACCTGCAGTGCGAAGGACTTTGGGTGCTTTGGGTAGGCCGTGCCCCTTTAATCCGCTTATCCCCCACCCGGGCATCCTAATCCCTATTGTGCAAAGGAGGACCTGAAGTTCAAACAGGCTCAGAAACTGTCCGAGGTCAGACAACTAAAAAAGCAAGAGGGGCAGGGACTCTAACCGAGTCATTTGGAGTCTAAAGCCTGGGATCCAGTTCCTGTTTGCACAAGGCTTTAGAAATTATCTATAGCATTTCCCAAGTCTAATTTAATTCTTATCAAAGATTTGTTAGAGCATGTTTCCTTTCGCTAAAGGGAGAGGTGAAGAGACAGGCACACGCATAAGCTATATTGATTTGAGAAGGGAAAAAATAAGAAACCCACAACGGGGCAGTGACCATTCAGCCAACAAGGAACCAAGGAACAAGGGTCTGGCTGGTGTGACCTGGTCCTTGCGGGCTCTTGGTTCCCTCTCAGAGTGGGTTCCATGGCGGGCCACTGAGATGGGCCTCAGGATTTAGGCAGCTGGCTGAGGTCATCACTGATGGATCAAATTTGGAAGGGGCCCCCTCCTTACGTCGATGCTGCAGTTGCCATGCTATAGCGCCATCAACTCATCTCCAGAACAAACAGCGAAGAAAAGAACTGTAAACGAGTGGACTTTCGGTTCCAAGGGGAGGATGACAAAAGGCACCGATGCCAGGGGCCCCGCCAAGTCTCGAGCGTGAATGGTTTGGTGGTGGCGTTGAAGAACTTTCCCAGCCTTTTCCTTTCAAACTCTTTCCCTTGGGCCACGCGTGGTATGTCGGACCACTGTGAAGACGGCACCGGCTACTCGACATGTTTCTACCAAGAGTGACTTCAGCAGCCTCCAAAAGTCACACCTCATTCGTATCCACGGTGCTGCCTGGCAGACACGCAGCAGGAGGGGGCTTGCTGCTCCATGTGAGGGAAGGGTCTGTGGGGCGGATGGTCCTCCTCAGCACCGAGCCTGGTCCGCCATCTCAGCCAGGGCTCATATGAGCCAGGAATGCAAAACAGAGTGCGGAGGATAATCCAGGTTATGAATCATCAAGTCCACATGGACTACAAATATTTGAAAACATTATTAGGAAATCCTACTCCATTGCTAAGAGATTTATGTTATAACAGTCTGAGAAATACCCAGAGACCGCGCTGGGGATCTTGACATTTGCAGTATCTGTTACCTGGAAGGATTATTTAAATACTCAGCTATTCCTTGACTGATGATAAGAACGTTTACACATTTTTCAAAGCATTTGTCACTGGAAACAGACGAGGGACTACTCCTTTATTTAGCGGGCGCCTTTCCTATTTAGAAATACCCTAGTTCTAAAATGTCTCTTCTTGAAACGATATTAAAATCTTCATTGCACAACAGTACATGAGCAGCTTATGATCGCAACGGCTCTAGGTCAACTGGAGAGATGATGCGCTGTGTTATGACCTGAAAAAAGGCCTCATTTCCTCAGGAATAGAAGGGGTGTAAGGCAAACAAGGGTTAATTAAACACAAAGTTGCAAGATCACAGGCTGGATAGTACTAAAACATCTCAGAAGCTTACCTACGTTCAATCACAATTGGACTTGGTGTGTGTGTGTGGGGTGTGTGTGTGTGTGTGTGTGTGTGTGTGTGTGTGTGCGTGCTTGGGGTGCCACACCTGGCAGTGTTTAAGGGCTGCTCCCATCATTGTTTCTGGGACCCTGCACTAGTTTAATCCCATGAAATAGGATTAAATCAGTTTCGCCACATGCAAGGCAAGCGCCCTAACCCCTGCACTCTCCAGCCCATTTGAGTTTTGACGATGGTGAGAAAAATGCCCACTGCAGAGTATTTGCACCCCTGGTCCCCAAAGATGCTTCAATCAGGGTGAGTAAGGGGCTCACTGGGCACTGGGGGGTTCCGAGGGTGCACCTGATGGTGGATGGGGTGGCGCGTGGGTGTCAAATGATCCCAGCTCCGATACAGTGGGGAAACATCCCAGGCGTTCAACCCAGAACCCACCCCGGCCCGCCTCAGACGTTCATATACCTCCGCTACTCCTCACAGCCCAGTGCTCGGGACGGTCAACGGGAAACTCCTTAGAATCAAGTCCCCCCCCCTCAGGAAGCTAGAGCTTTTCAACAACCTCTAGGATAAAATCAGGAAAACCAGCATTCTAGATCGGAAAGGGCGGGGGTGGGATGGGGGGAGTGCACGAAAGTCAGGCAAGCCCAGAGCCCGCGGTCTGCAGAGCCTCCCACAGGCTGGAGCTGGGTGGAGGGAGGAGAGAGACTGAGTCAGCCCCAAAGATAGTCGGCACTGCAGTCGGGAGGTCACGGTCACGGTCCTGCCGTTGTTCATCGATTTGCTCGAGCGGGCCCAGTAACGTCTCCATTGGAGACTTTGTTGTTACTGTGTCTGGCATATCGAATACGTCACGGGGAGCTTGCCAGGCTCTGCCGTGCGGGCGAGATACTCTCGGTAGCTTGCCGGGCTCTCCGAGAGGGGTGGAGGAATCGAACCCGGCTTGGCCAGGCTGGCTGCGTGCAAGGCAAACGCCCTACCCGCTGTGCTCCAGCCCAGTCGGGAGGCTTCTAGGGAAATCCAGATCGGAGGGATGCGGTGTGGGTTTATAAAAAAAAAGGGGGGGGGGGCTTCAGGGGCTAGCGATACTACAGGGGGAAGGGCTGATCCGGTTTGATCCCTGATAACACACAGGGTTCCCCAAGGTCCCCAGGAGTGATCCCTGAGCACAGAGCCAGGAGTAAGCCTTGAGCACTGCCGGGTGTGGCCACCCTCTGCCTCCCACCCCCCACAAAAAGGGGGAAAGATCAACCAATTCTGAAGGAAATCCCAGAATAAGAATCAACATGTTGTAGAAACTTTCTGGACGGTCAAATACAATCTATCAGCGATGATGCCAAAGATTCCGAATCGAGGGCGAAGACCAAACTGGCGCCAGAATGGCAGGAGAT